AACAGTATTCATGCAGTATTCATCGAATTAAACTGAATTAGTTAAACCTAAAATTAATTTTCTTTAACACCTAGATTTTTAGAAACATCAATTTTCGAGTTATTTCAACTTTATTACATGGTCTGAATTTTACAAAATGTTTTTAATCTAGCGACCATAACCTCCAAATCCACCGTGTCCGAATCCACCGTGTCCGAATCCACCGTGTCCGAATCCTCCGTGTCCGAATCCACCGTGTCCGAATCCACCGCGTCCGAATCCTCCATGTCCAAACCCACCGTGTCCGAAACCTCCGTGTCCACCAAAACCAGGTTCAGGCACAGGGCTGGCTCCGGCATAAGCCACAAGAAAGGCAACACAGGCCAGTAAGATTACCTGCGAAAATGTAAGTAAATAAACAACCAATTTTCTGCCTTTAAATTCCTGACGTTTGATGCCATTATAATGTAACTAGATTATATAAACTTTTACAGGACTATATAAATTATGTTATCTTAATCACAACACTAAACTTAAGATCTAAGTACATATTATACTTATATATTACATCTCGTAATAGGCCAAGACTATTTCATCAATAACTTACAGTCTTAATCATATTGAAGTCGATCCGAGAAGACAACTGGCAGACAAAGGCTGAGGAGGGACTTATATACTCCACAAAAGAGCGAGAAACATGGCGTTCTTCTGGCAAGGTCGAGTCCACAAATTTCCTGCCTTCAATTTTTTTTTTCCGTTGCATTCAGTTTCTCTCGCGTGCGCCTTCTCCTCTTTCTTTCTTTTTCTCCTTTTCTTCCTTATCCTTTTAATTTACCTTTTCCTTTCCTTTTCCTTTTCCTTCTCTCTCTCTCTCTCTCTCTCTCTCTCTCTCTCTCTCTCTCTCTCTCTCTCTCTCTCTCTCTCTCTCTCTCTCTTCACACACACACACACTTACCATGTCTGGCTTCGTGTGTGTTTGTGATTATTTGCATATTTACAAGTGTTCGTAAACAAGAGGTATATAGAGGATTCGGCATTATCGTTGTGAGACGGAAATAGAGGTAAGTGGAGTATTGTTACCATTGTCATTGTTTTATTGTTTTATTATTATCACCGACATTACTAAGATATTGTAAAATAGAGCTTGTGTGCAGAAAAGTGGTTAGTAAGGACATTTATTAAGTAGCAAGTGAAAAATAACTACAAAATGAATGAATAAACAAGCCAGAATTGTAGATTACGAGAAAATCGATCGGATGCACATTACTGTCTTATTTCTCAGAATGTTGGCACATTATTAGTACATGGAAATTTTAGATTAAGAGAAAATCCGTCGAATAGTATCAGTTGATTCACACCACTGTCTTATTTCTCAAAATGTAGACACACTATTATTCCATAAAATAAGCACCCGAAAGCATATTGGTAAGAATATCAACAACTACGTTAGTAATAGAAACACCAACACGAGGACATTTTTCTCGCTGATGTTGCACTAATAATTACACTTATCTTTGTCCTGAGAAATGAATTTGAATGACTATTATTATCAGTAACATACTATTATTATCAATAACGTTTTTCACTCATCAAACTATCTCTCTAGGATTATATTCATGTGCAATATTTGAAACGTTTCGATTACCTATGGGAGGTACTAATGGTAAAATAGGTTGAATTATGATTGATTTTTTATATATGTCATCAATTATCATCAAATTGTCGCATATATATTCTAGCACTGATTGCGTTACTGGCACCCATTCACGGTCTATAAACTTAATACATTCTAAGACTTTTTATGTATAGATACGTGTTTTGTCGAATAGTACTATGTATTTGGCAGCAAATAAGACGCACGGGCATGTTGGATGCAGAATCATATCAGGTATTCATTTTCGGAGGAAGATTAATTTACCTCCTCATATAAGACCTAGGGTGAGATTTTTTTTTTAAGTGCGTCTCATATGTCTTTAAATTATGTATATTGTTGGATTTGCCGAAATAAGTGTTTTATCGTTTTATTTATTTTATAGTTTATGTATTTTATTGTTGGAGTTTCCTAAATAAGTGCTTATCGTTTTATTTGTTATTTTGCAGTTTATGTAGAGAAAATACATGGAGTGTTTAACCAAAGTTTTTTTTTCCATTTATGAATTTAAAACTACCTTTCAACATTTTTTTTTCTTTATCTGCATGGGTGTGCCCGTATTCACTTTGACAAATACTTCCCTGTCATTATATTACGTCTAATTTTACTTTTTTAATCGGATTTCCTGCGTTGCTAGAATGCTTGATATTTTCAACATCACTTTTCTTAATCACCCTGTTATATTTCAAATAACCACATATGTTAAGCTTATATTTTATCATTCAATATGGTACGGACTCGGACCATAGTGGTATTGATAATATACAACATTATCACGATAATTGACATAATACAGCAAAAGTATTATAAAGCATCACAGCCGATCAGCGAATATAGACCATAGGTTATATAATTTAAACCAAATTATGTTACGATTTTGTTTAATTGATTTAATTTAAGTCAAAATCAGCATAATCATTTCATTTTTTTCAGCTCAAGTTCTTAGTCTCGATATTACCATCGTAAGACTTTCTGCTTTTTATGGATTCCAATCACTTTATCCTAATTATAAAGAGAAGGTCAATAATTCAGTGCCATCTCTTCCAATTACAATTTTAGGTAGAATCTTTACATTTTAATTTCATATATATTCAAGATTTATTTTCAGTCATTACTTCACATTCGGCGTTAAGTCAGCTACATATCAGCGACCATATCCTCCATGTCCGAATCCTCCGTGTCCGAATCCTCCGTGTCCAAATCCTCCATGTCCGAATCCTCCGTGTCCAAATCCACCATGTCCGAATCCTCCATGCCTGAAACCTCCGTGTCCGAATCCGTGTCCACCAAAACCGGGTTCAGGTTCAGGTTCAGGATTGGCTCCAGCAGAAGCCACGAGAAGAGCGGCGCAAACCAGCAGAATTACCTGCGGAACCGAAATGTATAAATCCATGTGTACACATAACCGTAATTCTATATTATATATATATATATATATATATATATATATATATATATATATATATATATATATATATATATCATATATGTATATATATACATAATTTATATATATCATATATATATAATATATATATATATTTATATATATATATATATATATATATATATATATATATATATATATATGAACAGGCATGTATATGAATGTTTGTGTGCATATATATAATATATACTAATGTATATAAATATGTATATATCATATATTGAAATATGTATAAATACATGTATATACATATATACACATATACATGTACATACCTGCATACACATACTTTGTAAATACATACATTTGTGTCTGTGTGGTATATATGAATATACACATTTATACACATACATATACGCATGTATATGTGTTTGTATATATATACATATATGTATATATGTGTGTATGTATGTATTTGTATATAATTGTATGTGTCCATATATGTATGTGTGTGTGCCTGTGTGTCTATATATATATATATATATATATATATATATATATATATATATATATATATATATATATATATATATATATATATATATATATATATATGTATATATGTATGTTTATACATATATTTAGACATATGTTACCATTCCACAAAACCAAGAACTAGAGCTGAAAGCCAGAAAACTTACAGTCTTGATCATCTTGGCGTCGACGAGAGAAGACATGTGTGAGCCATCGACGCGGGAACCTTTTTATATACTCCAACCAAGCAACAGCGACGGCCACTGCACTTCGGACAAGGACGTGAAATGTTGCTTCACCTTCAACCTCTTGACCGGCACGAATCCAAACGTTTAATAATGCTTTGCACACCTGGGAAAGAACACGGTCACTTACTTGCAACTTGGAAGTATTTCGTCAATTGCTTGCAACGGAATGATGACTTGCATTGTTCCATTTCTTTGCTTGCCTCCGTTTTTTATCCTTCTTGACACCTGTTGTTTTCGTTTTCTTTTTCATATATTTTAATTCAGGCTATAAATATGTGAAATGTCTTTTATTTCGGGATATATAACCCTTGTGTAGTAGCTTACGATTTTAGAAAACTGTAGCATCTGAAAAGGAAGTATTTTAACATGATTAAGTAAATGAATGACTGATTAAAACATTATTGGGTCATTATCGGCGCGTTGGACTGTCAAGTATTCCGTTCTCAGTTGATATCGGTAATGTTCCAGATTATTGTCATGACCGAGGTGAGAACTAAATAAACCATCAGCGTTTTCTTAGAAAATAAGAAAATAAAAAAAAACAGCAGCATAAGCAAGATAATAAACATGATGATATATAATTAAAGAAAACTGTAAGAGTACTGACAGCAATACTACTACTGTTGTCGCTCCCGCTAATACTGCTACCATTTTTACTATTACTACTAATAATAACAATGATAATGGACATTGTTTTTTCATTATCATCTTTATTATCATTTTTGTTTTCATCAATGTAATCATTATCAATATTTTTGTTTTTATCAATATCATCATCATTATCATCATTTTTATTATCAGTATCATTATTATCATTATTATTATCATTATCATTGTTATTATTTCTCTTGTTATTATTAACATTATCATTAATTTGATTATCATTACTATTATTATATCATTAATATCATTATATCAGTATTATCATTACCATTTCCTTATTATCATCATCATTATCATTATTATCTTTATCATTTATCATTACTATTACTATATTATTTTTATCACAATATGATCATTACTTTAATTACAATCTTCATCATCATCGATGTTGCTGAAGTTGTTAATGATCATCCATTAAAATACTATAATACCAATAATACCGATGAAGCTAATGACGACGATGAGGATCATGATCATGATGATTATGAAGATAATATTTATGATAATGATAATGATTATGATGATAATAACAACAATG